CGTTTTTCTTTTTGATAGTTTCTAGCCTTTTTAAGTCGACTTTGTTTCTGACTTGTAGTCTCTGCTGCACGTTTTCGTTTCATGCGTTCTCTTGCATTATCAAGTCTACTTGTTGATGTAACATGTTGACCTTCCGCCCCTTTCAAAGGTAAAGTTGTCTTAGCAAAGTTGAAACTGTCAATGTTTGATTGTTGTAATTTAACTGGTACTATTTCAAATGAGTTAGTATTTAGTTCCCTTGACAGGCAATGTAGATATTGCTCTAACTCAATTATGGAAGTGTATTTCATATCAACAGCTGTTCCACAAGAATCAGGCATACCAGCAGAACTTCTAGCATGAGGATCAAATAAATAGAAATTGGTGTCTAAACCATGTATTAAGGCCATCATATATCCTTCTAAGATTAAAACACTATATTTGCTAGATGCAAAAGTATTCATCAGGGCTGAAAAAAGGGTAAAGTATGGGCCTTCAACATCATGCTCATTTGTGACGAGACCTTGACAATACTCTCCATAGCTTATTAGCCAAATTTGTTGTTCATTTTTGGGCAAATCAATATTATTTTGTGCCTCGATGGGCTCCACCTCAATGGGCAGATCAATATTATTTTGTGCCTCGATGGGCTCTACCTCAATGGGCAGATCAATATTATTTTGTGCCTCGATGGGCTCCACCTCAATGGGCAGATCAATATTATTTTGTGCCTCGATGGGCTTAACCAGAATGGGTGATTGAATATTATTTTGTGCCTCGATGGGCATGTCGAAAATAGCTTCCATTGATGCTAATTTCTTGGCTAGAAAATGACACTGCACAATAGTAGGTAAATTTTTCACGGATACATATATCTCACGAGAAATGCGGTGATTCTCAAAAGCATTCAGATACATGTGGTCTCCTTGCAATATGACATCATCGATTGTAGACGTCTTCCAGTCGACTACAGAAGTAGTTACATGTGCAGTCAAAATTGCGGATAGACTCATGAAAGAGCACTGTTTTCCCCGAGATTGAGCACTAAAACGGTCATGCCCTTGATGGATACTTCCACAAGCAAGCAAAGACATGTATTCAATAATTTATTGTATTTATCGTTGTTTTTGTAGCGTATCGTATATATATAAATTTCTTTCTTGAAAAGATAGCTGATGGCACTATAACTCTATAAGCACATATTAGTGATATTTTAAAATGCTTTCCCACAGATTGACTGTGTCATGTGATACGCCATGTGCTTCCATTCTGCGAATTTAGAAATTTATTTCGAAGACTTCGAATGAAAGAGGTACGAAGAGAACGAACCATTGAACTGTAAACAAACAATTTACAAACAGTTCAATGGAACAAATGAAACCAGAGCACTTATATGCTATATAGGGGCGCCTGACACATCGCAACCTCTCATATAAATTGTGGAGCTGTATGGAAAACATTTTTATTTCAACACAATTGTGTTAAAAAGTGCTATTTCGAAAGCTTAGGTTTTCAAAATAGTATTAAATAAATGTTTTCTCAGATTTAATAATTTTTCATCCTTTGGTTTGGTAATGACCTCTAAAAAAAACTTGACACACCCAGTGAGCTCTATGTATAGCTCTATACACGCCGGGATTCCTCTGAAAAACAAAGGCTCTAGATTAGGCTCCGGGATAATCCCAGGATAATCCAAACCAGAAGCCAGACTTCCGGTTAGGTTTGTAACTTGTAACGGTGTTTTGTATTTCAAAATTGAAACGGCGTGAAGCGACAAATCAGAATCATTTCTGATTCGATGATCTCGAGGAACGAGATTGAGGACAATAGGACTGGATACAATAGTTCTCTTTTCTTGTAACAATGGCGGAAGAGGTAATAAAAATAGATCAGTTTGGTAATATTGCATGTTTTTGCAATCCGTTTTAATTCTAGGTAAATCATGATCATCTGCACTTCTTAAATAGTTTCAAAGTTTTCTTTTGTCTTTTTCTCCTGTTCAAAACCATTCTTTTCCATGGTTTAATCATTTCTTTTTGATTTTTCGTAAATATCGTGACGCTCAGGACACATGTTGTCTTAGTGATGCATGGACAGTAAAATAAGTACATTTTATGTCTGATGATGTAAAATTATATTTTTGATAGATAAACGATAACCAAAAGGTACCCCAAAAAAATATGGAGGAAGGTAAGGAGTCTTTTACACAGGCAACACTAGTTTTGAAATAATTTGTGAGCAACAAAGTGAGCAAAAAAAAAAAGTTTAGTTATGTTCTGGAGGTTATACTATCGGCCAAAAATAGTGATGTAAAGAACTCAACATTTGTAAGAACAATACATTTTATTTATATGTTTTTGCTATTGTAAGCAAATTTGAGATTAAAAATTGCCAGCAAGGTCCAAAACTCTAAGCTATCGCTAGCAGCTGTTTCAAACCCTGTGTTCATGACTATTTTGACTATATGGAAACCAGTCTTAATGAAGTGTGATTTTCTTGTGAGCTCTTGATTTTCCACTTTTCTAAGAGGTATAAAGCAAATGTTTTCCAATTTCCCAGGAGGTGTTTATTTCTAGAATTTGATACTATCTTTTAGGGGTTCAAATCTGACTGGATTCATCCAAAGGAAAATTGCATGTTTAATATGGTTGTATTAATTTGTAGGTGGTGAGCTTTTTGGCTATGTTCATGATGTAACCCCAGTCCATAGTTCTGGGAAAGTTAGATATGTTACATGCAACCTACAAACCTCTGAGAATGGCATGATGAAAGCCATTTGCTTTTCACCAGAAAAGAATACAGCACGTCTTACATCAGCAATGGAAAAGAAAAGCCCAATTAAACTTAACAAGTACCATTATAACGAGAAGTTTCAGAATGTAGTTATCGACAAAAACACTGCAATAACTATTAACCCAAAAGCATTACCATTTGCAATGAAAGAATCACCAGAGAAATCTCTTTTAACCATTGAGTCATTGGCCACTACAATGCCACAACAGCTGGTACGAATAAAAGCAACCGTGAAGAAGATATCAGGAGAGAAAACTATTAAGCTTGAAAGAGGAAATCTAACTAAATCTACTGCAATTCTTGTTGATCCTACTGGTTCAATTAATGCAGTTTTCTGGGAAGAGTGGTCAAACTGCATTCAAGTCAATAAAACATATGTATTTACAAATTTCCGAATGAAGAAAGATAATCACACAAATGAATTGTATGTGAATACAGCAAAAGAAGGTTTCCAATTCGAGGAGGCTCCTGATTTTGAAGAAGATCTGGCTGAAGTTCAGCTAAGTGTCATGGACATGGCCACAAGAGAAGTTGTCATTTCAGTGATTGGTGTTAAAATGGTGTCCACCTATCATGCATGCAGTGCTTGTGGTAAAAAAGGTGAATTAAATGGCAAGTTTGTGATATGTTCAACCTGTAAAATGAAGCAAAAGATTACTTCAGAAAGCAAGCATTGGTATGCCAGGCTATTTGTTCAAGATGTTGTCAGCAAAGAGAAATTCTTTATAATGGTATTCAATCAGCATATTGTAAAAATGTTTGAATCAGTTGGGGTAAAGCTCCTTTGTAGTATGACAGACGAACAGGTTACCGACAATCTTTTGGAAGTCGAAAACCTGAAAATAACCTACAACATTTCAGACAAAAAACTTATTCATGTCAACTTGTAAGCAAAAGTACATTGTTATGAACTTTAGAGTTCATACATAAACATTGTTATTACAGATTCAAAAACTTGTTTGCAGAGCAGCCCAAAAATGTTTTCGTTCTCGTGCGTTCGGACGTGTACGCGAGTCTACTCGGTCTATATTATGACAAGGTTGGCAAGCATCGGCCACAACATCCGCCAGTGTTCAAAACAACCTTGTCATAATAATAGACAGAGTAGGCTCGCATACACGCGCTAGCCCACAAGAACGAAAACATTTCTGGGCTTCTGTGGTCTGTGTTTAAATTCACGTTTTGAAACATTGTTATAAACTTTAGAGGGTCATAGTTTAATATTTGTTGTCTGTGTTCACTGTTCACGAACTGGGGATTTTATATTAAAGTTTTGAATTTCTTGTTTTGTGGTTTGTTGCTAGCCTAGAACTCGTTAGTCATCATACGATCCGACTGCGTGCAAAATTTAGTAGCTAGTTTTTCTTCTCCCTTATGCTGAAATATGATTTACAATGCATGGGATTGTTTGATTTTTTAATCGATAGTCGTGCTTTATAAGGACTTTAAGCATGTAGGACGTCGCGCGACGACGACGGCTATCAACACAATGATTAAAGTTTATGAAAATTATTAAAATCAATAATTTAGACACAATGTTGAGTCTGTTTACAACGACAAACACAGATTTTTACCTCTGGAAATGTGTACGACGCCTGCATTTGAATTTCAGGCTGCACAGTGCAGCTTTAAATTCGCTTCAGTAGAATCGTTTCGAGCAAAAAAGCCATATTTTCAACTTCTTATGCTTGAATTCATACGAAGTTATAACACATGACAAGTTTTCTTCACAGCTATTTATATGAAGCAGTTTGTTTTGGTCGTCGTCGCGTGCTGTCCTTCTTGTTAAGGTATGTATTGCGCAACACTGCGAACAAACATCGCGAACTTCCAAATGATCGAGATCATTGTCGCATATAGAAAACGGCGGGGGAATGGGTACGATATTTATATTGCGCAACACTGCGAACAAACATCGCGAATCTTCAAGACTGTCAAGAATAGTGTGCTGCCTCCTAAGGGAGGCAGCAATTAACTATCAAAGTGTGTCACGCTCTCGAAAAAATGTTTTTATCAACCAACGATGCCAATTAATCATAAACTGTCAAACAGCCATGCCGCAAGCTTTTTATGCAAATAAAACTCACCATTGTGTTGTAAGTAACATTACACCGTTACACCGGTCATGTTACACATCATACAAAAGCGCAAACAAACAATCTTTGGCCTTTTTCTCACCCAACCTTTCATTTGCGCGTTCACGATTCTCAGCTATATAGAAACTAACAATGTCAACCTCTAATCCAAAAACTAAAATCGGACGACAGCATGAAAAAACATGGTCATATCTCCAAAAACGATTGTCGGATGCTTCCTTCAACTACGCTAGGATCATGCCTGAAAACATCCTAAGTTTTATCAAGCACAAAGCCACAAGCGTCAACAGTTGTCTCGGCTATTTTGTACCAACAATCCTTGCCACGGTGTCCTATCTTCTGAGCAAAGCAAAAGCTTCTGTTCACACAGTTAATCACGCTCAATCAACTAACCTGTACACCGTATTCGTCGGGTATCCTGGTACTGGCAAATCCGCATCAATCCAACATGGTTGTATTAAACCCATACAGAATGCCTTGCAAGATGACGTGAAAGATTGCCTGCTTGACCGAACAACTTCATCTGGTTTGGTAAAGCATCTCTCAAAAAACGGAACTGGGTTTATCGTTTCGCCAGAAGTATCGGATGTGCTAAATAAATTGTTAAAGTCGGACGAGGATACATGTTCGGGTGATGCCATGGTTTTATGCAAACTCTTCTCGGGTGAACGAAGTTCGTTTAACTATGCGACGGAAGAGGCGAGAGATATCAGAGAAAACACACCTTTTTCTATCCTTGGGTGCACTCAGATGCCTAACGCCGCTAAACTTGTTGCGAGAATGGACAAAGGACAAGGACTGTTAGATCGATTTCTAATTTCCGTTCCACGCGCAATATGCCCCAAGTCAAGTGAAGTCGAACAGTCAGTTGAATACCTGTCCACCGAGTGCATTGACATTTTCAATGAGGTTTATCGCTTGCTCGTTCACTTTCACACAAATAATATCATGGAATACCGCTTTGACGACGAGGCTGAAAAATCGATGAAAAACGAGCGAGATGCCTTTACCAGTGATGTTAACGATGCTATCAACGATGGAGAAACTACACCACCCAAATCAAAGAAGTTATACTATGGAATGCGCCTTGGCAGGGCACGAAGTTATCATCCCTACACGTATTACCAAAGACACATTGGAAAAAGCCAAGTTGTATGTCGATCATGTCGAAACGCAAAAACATATGCTGTATGAGGTAATTACTATAGACAATTTCAACAGTTATTGCTCTAGAATTAAATACGGTTTGTTTAGATCCCCAGTTAGGTCTATCCTTCAAATACCATGCCTACTGATCGCTTAATTTAAAAATAGTTTATGCATATAGGCAGTTTTCCTAAGCTATAAGTTTTAATCCTTTTAGATAGATATATAACTGTACTGAAAGGTAAAAAGTTCTTTTTTATATTTTTTCCAGTTCCTCAAGTCCATAACCAACGATACATGTGATCCGAAAAGGCCGCAGCCAAGCGCAGCAAACGTGAAATCAGGAATTCTATTATTCCCGGGTCCTGTTGTCACACACAGAGCGTTTGTTTAAAGCGGCCCCCGTTTGACTAGAGGAATATCACTTCAAGAATTCCTTAATGCGACGCAGCAGTTGAACACTGATTTTGGCCTGACGATGAACGTAAGGGTCGCTAGATCTCCAAAGCCAACCCATGTGTTCGTTAAGAAGACACCCGGTCAGTTTGTTGAATGGCCAGGCGATTTTTTGTGCACAAGATCCAGATTCTCATGTTTGTTGACCACATGACTTAAAAATGATGAGAATTTTGCCCAAATAACATCACCATTTCCATCATGTGTTGTTTTTGCACTCCAGTACAGGTGGTTTGTGCAAGGTTTTATCCACTCGCTTATTGCTTCGCATCCACTCACTTTTGCAACTTTGTTAGCACCTTAGTAACTTCTACAGGGAAAAGGAATAAAAAGAATTCCCCATTTAAAAAATAATTTTGCATTTTTATTGGCATAATTTGGAATGTTGGAGACTATCCTCAACTATTGGAGATTATCCTCAATATACTGCAGTATAACTTATAAGGTCAGAGTTGATGACTATTTTAACCTACTTTTCTTGAGAGAAAACAGTTATCATCGTCCCTGCCACAAGGCAATATCTGCAGGCATTCGGCATTTGCTTGTCAGCCAGAATTTGCTAATGGACAAACAAGTATAAGCAATATGGGTGTGCACATGTGACATAGAAATTATTTTTAGCACTGGAATATTTGAAATATCGAACATATCGATACGCGTATCCACTAACATAATTTTATAGCTGCTTTGTCTTTTACCGTTTCGAAAAATAGTTTATTAAATATAGATGTTCATATGTAAAATAGCACAGGAATATTATCTAACATTTGAGATATTCGAACATATTTATCCGCGTATATACTAACATAATTTAAAAGCTATACTTTGCAATGGTCTTTTACCGTTTTGAGAAATAGTTCATTAAATAGTAATAACATTATGCCTCATTCTCAAATAAACTACACTTTGTATCCGCGTATCCACTACAATATGTAGCAAAACATTTGATACGTAATCTATTAAATGACTAATTATAACATTATGCCTCTCAACTATCAAAGTGTGTCACGCTCTCGAAAAAATGTTCTTACCAAGATGCCAATTAATCATAAACTGTCAAACAGCCATGCCGCAAGCTTCCTATGCAAATAAAACTCACCATGGTGTTGTAAGTAACATTACACCGGTCATGCTACACATCATACAAAAGCGCAAACAAACAATCTTTGGCCTTTTTCTCACCTAACTTTTCATCTGCGCGTTCACGATTCGCAGCTATATAGAAACTAACAATGTCAACATTTAAACTAACTGTATGCCGAGAATCTTGATACAAGAAGCTTGAGAATCTGATCTATATAAACTAACTGTATGCCTTGTTCTTAAAATCAACAGTTCACTGCGTATCCACGTATCCATAAAAAATGGACGGGTATTCTGCAATCGCTCCCAACTTCGTTGGAATGGAACTAAACCCATAACATCATGGTAATTTTTCGCTTTCTATTTGACCACGGATTGGAAATATTGTTTTATAGTAGAGCACGTGTTTGACACAGTAGATATCATTTTTTGTTTTGCGGTTTTTTAGGTGTAGTTGTGGCAATTGCAGCATTGAACTTGTACAAAACGCAAAGGAATGCTATTGTTGCAAAGAATTTGAAAATTGTGTGCAGTTCCTTGCCGAATTTTCGGAGCAAACGGAGCCACTACGATGCGTCATAGAACATCCCGGTTTTCAAGCAAGTGCCTGAACAGATGGTCATTGGAGCTTGCTGCTGGTAACTATAAAACCCGTGATGGTCATCGTTATGGCCAAAGTGGTCTAAAGGAAAGGTAAAATCACATACTTTTCTTTATAAATAACATTATATAGCTTTGTAAATAACAAGGGTTTTATGCACTACTGTATATGTTTATTATAAATACAAGCATATGGTTCTGGTCATAGGTCTAACATAATTCATATAATATTAAATCATCATCATAAAATATAATACATTATATATTTGCTATTTAGCTTCCTTCGAGTTGTTGCATACAGGCAGTTTACTTGCATGGTGCATGGTTGGTTAAAAGACAGAAGGATCCCATTGCCATCTTGTGCATACAACATAATCCGCTCAACACACAAACCCCAGGAAGATTCATTTACTGGTTATGACCAATTGGAAACAGATGATGAAAGTCAATAAACATATATACTTTTAATAATATAGAAAATACACAGCCAGGACTCTACCAATATGTACATAATGAATTGCAACATTCTCTAGCTACATAGATATTTTTGTGGATTTGTGGAATATTGCAAAAATGGCCCATTGTCCGTTAATCTTTTTTGTTTTGTGGGCAATTTAACACATTCTTATGGCCTTTCATCGGCTGATTACACAGTCTGCACTTTGGCAAATTTCTTGCCTTTGAAGGTGCACTCTTGCCAGTTGCAGTGGTAGGAACTAAAATAATAATAAAATATTTAGATTTGTCAACATTAACCATTATTGCATTACTGGTTTCGCATATAAATATTTCATACAGTGTACATAGGTACCCTGCTTTGTATGGGCTGTTTCACACACCTGAGTTTGTTGGTGGAATATCCACAAGCTGCATTTTATCCCTTTTCTTCCTCTTTTCAATCGCCTCTTCCCGTGGTTGTTTGTTGAGCATTGTATTCATGGGAGGTGGTGTTTTCTCAATCAATTCATTAATTGCATCCTTCAGTTCTTCTGTTCCAATTGCCTCTAGCATGGTTTGATACATATCATCTACATAATCTATTATCAATTGTTAAATTATAAATCAGTTATCATACTCAGTGATTGTAGTTGGATTCAGATTGGGGGGGGGGGGAGGAGAGAAGGGAATTATTAAAAAGTAATTTAAACTTACCAAAGTTTTGCTTCACAGAAACTTTTCTGACAACTGCTTCTCCATTCATGAATTTTGGGTAAATCACACTATATTGCTCAATGGCATTCTTTGTTCTTTTTTCCCGGGAAAGATTTTTGTTAAAATGAATAACTGCAATCACATGTTTAAAAATAGAACACCACATTCTGTCAACCCTAACCCTGGGGGAGGTTCATCATGTGTATCTGTCAAGACATACCTGCAAAACATTCCCCTGTAAGAGTAACCAATCATCTTGGGGGAAAATTGATTCAATACAGAATGAAATCCCTCTAGGCAGCTAGTTTGTTCAATAGGGGAAGCTTTCATTATTCCTTTCTTTAATCTTTTATTTCAGAGGGTTGAGCACATTTTCTCATATGCAATGGAATCTGCAAAAAATGACAACTATTATTATCCAAATAGTATATTACATTGATTGTCAAAGATTGTACCACAAGGTGTTACAGAATATCAGAATATGTGCACAGTTTACTAACATTAATTCTTATTCAATTTACTAACATTAATTCTAATTTCTAGTTTCTCCATTGCAGTACCTTTGTCTAACCACTTGCGTGGCTGAATGATATCTTTATGGCCACATTTGTTGAACACTGGATTGTCCAGATTCTCATGTTTGTTGACCACATGACTTAAAAATGATGAGAATTTTGCCCAAATAACATCACCATTTCCATCATGTGTTGTTTTTGCACTCCAGTACAGGTGGTTTGTGCAAGGTTTTATCCACTCGCTTATTGCTTCGCATCCACTCACTTTTGCAACTTTGTTAGCACCTTAGTAACTTCTACAGGGAAAAGGAATAAAAAGAATTCCCCATTTAAAAAATAATTTTGCATTTTTATTGGCATAATTTGGAATGTTGGAGACTATCCTCAACTATTGGAGATTATCCTCAATATACTGCAGTATAACTTATAAGGTCAGAGTTGATGACTATTTTAACCTACTTTTCTTGAGATGCCAAATATCAAAGTAATGAGTGATGTTTGACAACTTTTCCCTCATATGTTTGGCAATTGTGGAATGCCTGTCAGAAACAAATGTCTGAATCACTAAACCCAAACCAAGCAGATACTCCATACTTCTGCAAAAACCAGCATATTCCATAGCTGGGCTGCTGCCAACTTCATTTCTCTAGTGAAATAAAGATACACAGTTGCCATTAGCATGGTTGCTACATCAACTGGAAAATGTTGATAAAACACATTACTGTACCTGTACTAAGACAAAATCAATTATGAATGGAATGGTGCAACAAAATACAGTATAGGCACAGTACTTGGCACTGTGACCCATACTGTCATGTCGCCCATCCCCAGCAATCACCAATTCCCCGCGTTTTTTCAATTTCTCCACTAATCCAGCCTGGTACCTTTTCCAGTGCAAATAAATTGATGGGAACAATTTTTCCTATAAACAAAAAACATTCATATATTCATATTTGCAGGTAACAATATAAATAACCCTTTGCATCTACAAATAATACACTCAGTTGTGGTTATTAACACTGTTTTCTTAACTTCAAACATGTGATTACTATTGTATTCATTCATATAACTGGCATCTATTGTTTCATAAACCATATCTCAGTGAGACATCAAACCAAAATAACACTCACTCGTTGATATTTGAAGAAAGTTGTTAGTGAAACGCATGTCATTCCCATGTGCTGAAGCACTCGGAAAACTTTAGTTGCTGATGTACCTGCGACAAGAATTCCAAAACTAAGCAACAAGTTACCAGCTGCAATTTTTGTTCCAGGAAAATTAGGTTGACTAAACCATGTTGTTCTTTTTTCACATCCAGGCTTGACACATATTGTAGTAACCTCAGCCATTGTTCCATGTGCATTTACTTCAACCAGTGTGTTCTCACATTTGCATTCACGGCAGAAATGAAAGAGTCAACAACTGTGTGAAAAACACAATAAACTTTGGCTCTGTTCTAAGGTTGTACTCCTTTGCAGGAATCCTGAAATACAATAAGTAAACAACTATTTGGCATGTATTTTGCTGCAAATTTTGGGCATTATACACCATACATTGCTACTACACAGAGTTACTAAAGACAACAGAAAGTAAATGTGAAATTGTCAGCCATATTATTAGTCTCAACTTCACTTTTTAAAAAACACACTGAAAGGTTATGATCATGATAAGACTTTTCAAAACATTGGTGATAACACTACACAGCCATCACCTTGGACATGTAATAATTTACAAACATATTAAACCCTGGATACTAAAATAATTTTTTAACTTTTGTCTATATACCTTCGTGGAGGCACATTTATATCTTCATCAGTATCTGTATCAGTTGTCTCTGTTTCTATCTCTACATCCTCAGATACTTCATCTGAAGGTTCCTCTGCTTCATCCTCAGACACACTACATTCCTCATTGTCACTTTCAATATCATCATCAAGTACTTGGGCATGGCTGCTTTCACCTGTTGTAAATTTATTGAAATACTTTATTTAAATCCAACACTTCTGACTTGCTTGAATTTCTGCAGTACCATTTAACATTTTAAGACACAATACAACTGTCATCCATTTGCAATTGATGTATGACACACATGCTGACACAGCCTAAATTCCTATTCATGATCGAGCTAACATTTGGAAAAATTTTAAATTTGACATGCCTACATGAATTTATTCGAATACATATGCCTGGATTAGAATCACATACATCCAGTTGTATCATGAAGGTGGGTCTTTTCAATTAGCAGGGAAAAAGGAAATATATTTTATTACACACAAGTATATTACATTACCATAGATAATAAAATAAATTTATTTTAATATCTATATTACATAATAGTGATTAGACTGCTCACCTGTTACACTTCTAAGTGCACGTAATTCTTCTCTAACAGCACTTAGTTTCTGTTTTGATGTTTGCCAGCAACTGCGAATTCTTTTGTTTTCCTTTTTCAGGAGTTCACAGCTACTGCAATTCTGGCTATGCTCCAATTCTTCAGCTGGCTGCAATAAATTAATGACCAATAACTCAGCAAAAATTCATACAATAAGGTCCTATTACAGTCTAATAGCACCTTATTTAACAGGCATCTCTAATTAATTTCCTGTCGCAGTGCTGGGGTTACTGAAATCTGATACAAATGACACTTTATGACAGACTTACTATCCTTTCTTGTTCCATGGGGCCTGGTTCATCAGATAAAATATCTGATGAAGTTGTGGGTGCTTCCTCTTCGTCTAACTTCGATGGTTTACTGATAGCCTATCCAAATTAATGTTGATTACTGTAAATTAAATTTACTTCGACAATATGTACACGATATATACCAATACTACCAATAGCAATGCTATAGAAAACTATGTCTATGTAGAAACTTGGCATTTCACTTTATACCAGCCAATATAGACAGCCTTTATACCAGCCAATATACATGCAGAATAATGCGCACATAACTTAATTATTCAAAGTTACGCTTGAAATACTAAATAGCTAAAAAGCGCTGAGAATATTAAAAATGTAATACCAAATATCAGCTTACCCTTTGCTTTGCGTGTTTCGTGCGCTCACTGTCTTCTGCACCGGTTAATTTTGTGTCTATCGTAGGATACACACAAATTCCGTGCTCATCCCGTTTTAGTCTGGGAGTCTTGTATTTCTTCACCACATCTGAACCAAACTGAAAGCAATCTTCAGTAAAATGTTGTGAGCACACAACTGACGAAGGTGTTGGCATCCATTTGTCTCGCTTCCGATGAACGAAGTTGATCCATTTTGCCCTTCGTTTAGCTGCAATGGGCGTGTTTTCACCCCAGAACGGTATCTCGTATATAGAGATACCATTGCTTGTATCTGCTGTGTTAGCACAGCCGTAAACAACACATCGCCTAGGCATTTTTTTTTAGAATTGTTGAAGATAGCCGTAGTCTTCAATACAAAAGCCTAGTTGTTGTTAAAGATAAGTTCCTAGTATCCAGGCCCTTCGCTATATTTTGGTCGCGCTACTTTTTTTTCAAAAACGGCCAAATTTGCATGTTTGAGCGCTTGTATCTCTGAAATTAAGAATCTAAGCAAAAAACTAATGTAGAACTTAATAACTAATTTTTTATGCTCTATCAGAATCACCAAAAACCCATTTTGGGTTTATACGCACTTTAAAAAATCCCAATTTAGGTTTAAACAATTACTTATGTTGTACTAATAAGTTATGTTTTATTCAATGAATTTAAAAACACGCTATGCTGAATAACAGCACATTTAAATAGCTAAAAGCATGCCTTATTTACCCAAGGTTTCTGGTGTCAAGTGCAAGGAGTCCTATTACTTGATACCATTTAAACAAACTCAATTAGGTTTCATTATTTTAGGCTTTCATGCTTCGTTTGTGGCTAGTAAGGAGTTATGGCGAGTAGGGTTAGGAGAGTAAGTAATCATGATAATAAGGTCAAACAGGTCAAATTATTGTCAATCATTCACTAAGGAATATTTAGAGTGACTTACATTTACAGATGCTTGACCTTCCATTAATAACACAGAATTAATCCTTTGGATTCTTGCTCAAATCATGGCATCACAAAAACAGCACAATGCCATAAATCAAGCAAATGGCAGGGTTCTTCTTTGTTGGATAGATCATGCTTTCCAATAGACCACACAGAAGTTTATAGATATTTAGACATCTGGTGGCCATCTCTTTTAAAACATCAGACATCCATTCCATTGCCTGAGGACAGATTCATCACTTCTCCTTGCCACTTCAATCGTTCTTTGTTTGCTTCATTGAGAACTTCCAAAGCATCAGAATTTTCAACCTTAATTAACATATGTATATTATTTTTGATCTAATTTATGTAGCTTGCAAAATTCTCAATTATTTTCATTAAATATTTACCACAATGCAATACAGGCTGTTTATAAAATTAAGGTGATCAGACTTTGTTGTTTGTTCACTCTCTGATGTTTTGGTTCCTTGGATTGTCTTGCTTATCAAGATATTAGAAATTGCAAAGGTCAGTATTACTTAAATATATGGTTTCTTAGTTTATCTGGTTTTAAGACTTTCTTATATATTTGTTTTATATGTTTGTTTTAAATAAGTGTGATTTGGATTTAAAGGCTCCTGTACTCATGTCAGCAGGCTGTGTTACTGAATAGACTTTGTCTTTGACTGCACTGTATTTTTTAAATTTTCTTTAATAGTTTATCATTGGCATTTCTGGTCAAGACAATTAGGCCGCTCGCGAACTGGTTGAAACACAGAGTTATACAGTTTGCTAATGGTGAGTTAACATTTTATTTTTTGTAGGTTCTTTATACATTTGTAGTTCGATTTATATCTTTGCCTCGCCGCTGTTGGCAGGCTGTGGATAGACCTTTGTTGACTGTATTGTATTTAATTTTCTTAGTTTATCCTTAATTTATCCTACACAGGCTATTTTAGGATATAGTATAAAGATTGTAATTGTAGTGTATCTGCTCCTTGCTTTATTTTGATTGGTTTTGTAGTATCATATATTTGTAGTTCAATAGTTTGTAGTTCATTACTGCTTGTTTTTTTTGAAGTATTTTTAAATGTTTTAAACGTTTTGTTCAATAATGGCATCTTTTTTGGACAACTACTTGCATTTCATTCCACTGATTTAAAATTCTCAAAACTTTATGTGCTCTCGACTTGGTTTGCCCCTGATTTTCAAGCATAAAATTCAACATCTAATAATAGTTCAAAATGCGAAACCAGCAGAAATATACAATATAAATGGTGATGGTAAACTGTTTATTTTGTGCTCTGTCTTTTGCAATAAATGTTTGACAAATACATAATAGTTTGGTTAGACAAAAAATCATAAATCGTATGCGAGAAATTGAAAATCTGTTATAATCTGCTTAGTGTTACTCTTGGAGCAGAGGATACTTACCATACAAATAAAGCAACTCACGTCTACCCAAGTATGTGGCTGTCATCGAGAAATGGTTGTTGTTTTCGAGACAAAATCTATTACATTTGTTACTACTAGCCTGTGGCGATATCGAGAGCTGCCCTCGACCAAACTATTCTATCAAGGCACTGGGTGATTTATGCAAGCAAAGAGGTCTGTCATTTATCCATCAAAATATTAGAGGCTTACAATCAAACTTTAGTCATTATGTGCTTTTATTGACTGTCATCCTGTCGACATTTTAACGTTATCAGACATACTAATCACAATGACAGCTCTGACTTATTTAACATTACAGGCAGGAAAAGGAGGCGGTGTATCTGTTTACATTCAGGAAAATATAAAATGGCAGTGCCGAGAGTACCTGGAAAGGGAATCAATTAAAAGCATTTGGGTTGAAATCATTGTACAGAGTAGTCACAATTTCATTATATGTTGGATATACTGCCTGCCAGATACCTCGAACTACCTCCCTAAAACGTTTAATAACGACCTTAATGATGTATTGGATGAAATATCTGAAGAAGTAATCCTTCTTGAGGACTGTAACGTTAACTTTAGTAATAAAGCTGACAACAAGGAATTTAAAGATATTCTTTCATTGCACGGTTTCATGCAGCTAGTTGACAAACCTACACGTATCGCTAGAGAAACGTTCTCCATCATTGATATTTTTGCCTCTAATAGAGAAAACATAAAAACAGTGCATGTAATATCAACCAGTTTCAGTGATCATGAAATGGTTGCCTGTGTGAGAAAATTAAATCACCGAAAATTTCCACCAAGAGTGATTAAATGTCGAGAATTTTCGAAATTTAACCCGAATGACTTCATTTGTGATCTTGAGAAGGCAGATTGGACGCCTGTGTTAAATACCATCGACATAAATGAAGGTGTTTAGGCATTCAATAACATCCTTGGAACGGTTTTCGATACCCATGCACCATTCATCACCAAAAAAGTCAAAGGTCGTGTTTGTCCTTAACTTGATCCTGAAATCAAAGCAAAAATGAATGAACGTGATAAATTACTTCGAAAATTCCGAAAGACTCATGATGAAGAAGACCAATTGAATTACAAAAGACTGAGGAATCAATGTAACAATCTCCTTTGTAATGCCAAATCACGACATCATAAGAATCAACTCGATGATAATGAATTCTCGTCTAAAAAATTTTATTATTTTAATTTTTTTTTTATTTATTTATTTCGCCCAAAAACTAAACAAAAAAATATGACATTTGCAAAAAATAGATATATACAAGAAATGGGCTAGGAGCCTACTAGAAACCACATGGCTTTTGCTTTAGGCCCCTAGGTTTATTAATTAAGCTATATCAATAAATACAAGCTCTTGTCAGTTCGAGCGTTTTTCAGATAATTAAGGAAAAGAAGTATTTAAGAAGTATGATACATATATATATATACATATACACACACATACATACACTATCTATAATCCATATAATACATATATACATATATATACATACATATATACATATATATACATACATATACACACATACATACACACACATACATACACGCATACATATACATACATAATTATATTTACAAAAACGTGTTATATTGTTAAATCTAGTTGTAAAAAGTACTTTTTAATTATTGATTTGAAGGAAGCATAAGACCTAGGTTTTTTATATTTTGTGGGAAGATTATTCCATACTTCTATGCCTTTATTGGCAAGGGTATGTTTGGTATAGTTTGTTTTATTATTCTTTTTGTGTAGCAATGAAGAATTTCTTGTGTTATGATTGTGAATTTGCTTATTTGTCAAAAAATAGTTTATGAATACTTCTGGTAGATTCTGTAGATGAAAATACCGGATCATGAATAAACTTGTTAAATAATAATTTATTTTATATAAATTGAGTATTTGTAAGTCATTAAAAATTGGTTTTGATTGATCGAAATAAGATTTGAAAGTCATTAATCTGACAATCTTTTTTTGAATATTCACTAACCTTTGAAGACGTGATTTATAAGTGTTACCCCAGATTAAATTACCATAAGTTAGATATGGATAGACCAAAGCATAATGTATTAGCTTTAAGGAATTTAGGTTTGTAAAATGTAGAGTCCTGGAAATAATTGCCGCACATTTGATAATTTTTTTCCTAATCAAATCCAAGTCATTACACCATGTCAGAAATTGGTCAAGAACAATTCCTAGAAATGTGATATTTTTTACTTGTCTTATATTGTTATTATTGATCGAAATGTTTATCGAACCATTAAGTTTCTTATTTTTTGATCTAAAAAGAATAAATTTCGTTTTTTCAGTGTTTATAGATAGCTTATTGGCATTCAACCAATCTGTAATTTTATTCATTTCATTTTGAATAATTTTATTCAACTTTTTAAGACATGTATGACTATAAAGAATGTTTGTATCATCAGCAAATAAAACAATGGAAATCAGTTCACTACAGTTTTAAATATCATTTATGTATAAAATAAACAGTAAAGGACCCAACACTGATCCCTGTGGGACACCGCTTAAAATAGTCATTTCATCAGATTGTACTCCATTATATTTGTTTTCTATTTCGTAAATAATTTTCAAACCATTCTTTGGCCACTCCCCTTATACCATAATGTTCCAATTTCTTTATCAGAATTCTGTGATCAATTGTATCAAATGCCTTTGACAAATCAAGGAAAATACCATTGAGTATTTTCCTTCATCAATTGCTTTGGTAATTTTATCAATAAAATCAATTAATGCATGTTCTGTCGATCTATTTTTCCTAAACCCATATTGATGTTTTGATAATATTTTGTTTTTATCAATAATTTGGAAAACGATAAAGGCTATCTTTCCAGTTAAAACCAAATCATCAACTTAAAACACCCTGAACAACCAAGAAATTGCAACAGTATTTAGTGACTGGTTTGCTTCTGTTGTTCAGAATTTAAAACGGAAATCCATGCC